GACACTTGGGACCCTTTCTCTGGGGAGGAAAACCCAGCAAGATGCAGAGCCACTGGCTATTCACATTGAGGATTTGTGGAGGTCAGGTAAGGTCTTGGATAACTAGAAAAGGGCAAATATGGTGTCTTTGTTTAAGGAAAGGAAGAAGAAAGATCCAGAAAATTACAGACCGGTCAGTCTTATTCAATACCTAAAAAAAAGACTACGGAACAAATGAAGGAAGGAAATCAAGGAATCTTTTTCTAAGCACTAGAGGATTCCAAGCAACAGTGAGCATGGCTTTGTCAAAATTCAGTCATGCTTGAGAAACCTAAGTTTCTTTTATGACAATCTGAAGAGCTTTGCAAATGTGTGGGGGAAAAGCAGTGGACATAAATAGCTTAACTTTAGCAATTTTTTTAACACTTTTTTTCCCCATGACATTCTCATTTATACATTAACACAATACAGTCTAGATTAATAGATTCATAGATTGTAAGGGCAGAAGGGACCTTGGAAGAACATCAGGTCCAGCTCCCTGCACAAAGCAGGAAAGATAACTAGGTGTTAGGTAACCCCAGCAAGGTGACTGTCCAGTCTCCTCTTGAAGATTTCCAGGGTACATGATTGCACCACCTCTGGAGGGAGCTTATTCCACAGTCAGGCCACCCTGACTGTGAAGCAGTTGTTCCTAATGTTGAGATTGAATCAGTCTTCCAGGAATTTATGGCCATTACTCCTAGGTTTCCCCAAGGGTACCCTGGTGAATAGGTGCTCACTGAGCCCTTGATGTACTCCCCTAGTTTAGTGGTAAGCTGCTACCAGGTCTCCTCTCAGCCTTCTTTTCCTCAGGCTGAAGAGTCCCAGATCCCTCAGCCTTTCCTCATATGGCTTGTCATGTAAGATACTGATCATAAGGGTGTCTCTTCTTTGGACTTTCTCAAGCTTGTCCATGTCCATATTAAAGTGTGGGGCCCAGAACTGGACACAGTACTCCATCTGTGGCCTCACCAGTGATGAGTAGAGTGGAAGAATCACCTCCTTGGTTTTGCTGGAGATGCATCGATTCATGCATGCCAGAGCATTATTTTTCCTACTGGCTACAGCATTGCACTGCCAGCTCATATTTATACTATAGTTTATTATTACCCCCAGGTCCCTTTCCATTCATGGTGCTAGTCAGTTTGGTGCTGCCAAGCCTGTAGGTGTGTTGAGGGGGGCTCGTCTTGAGGTGGAGCACTTTACATTACTCAGTGTTGAACTTCATCAGATTCTGATCTACCCGACTTGCCAGCCTGCCTAGGTCCATCTGTATCTGCAGCATATCTTCAAGTGTGACCGCTATGGTTTTGGTCTCCAAGCCACTCAGGTGGAAGCAGCAAGGAGTGGGCTGCCAGTGTTCATCTGCCGGTCAGCAGCATGGGGGCACATGGTGAAAAGAGCAAGATTAAAGAAGCCACTGTACAGTGCATTTCCAGTTCAATTTAGGTATATCCCTAACTATGAGGTAAAATACTTTGAGATATAGAGGTATTATAAAGGGGTGCAGAAACCCCCCAGATTCTCAGCTGTTGAGAGTCCAGCATTTAGAAGAGCAAGGTCCTCTCCCAGCAACCTGACCACAAAAGCAACGTGTGCCAATTAAGCAGTTGGAGAAATTGAAGGGAAGCTCTGACTTTGCCTTAACTTAAGGAGACTTGAGTCTAAATCACAATAAAAGAAAGTGTTTACAATTCAAGTGAATGCTTGTGGAAAAAATTGTATTTTTTCATAGCTTTACCACTACACTAAGCATAGTTATTCATGCCAGTTTTAACATCTTCCTCCCCACAAAGACTATTATCTTGTAGAAAGAAAGGAAGCACCTAAGTTTTCTCAGACATGTGCCTTTCATATCTACTTTCACTTCTCTTCCTGAATCCTAAAAGTTAGGATGAAGGATCCAATCCCTAATTTATGTTTTGACAGAGCCTGAGAATAAAGAATTGTGAGTACACACAGCAGGAACTGTATTCTAAGAATTCTGCTTCTCTAGTCACATGATTGGATGTCCAAACAAATAAACCAACCTAGAATACATTTCAAATATTTAACAACCATAATGTAACTATGTGCACAAAGCAGCACAGAAAATAATTTTTTCTCAATAATTGTTTAACTAGTATGTTTGAGTCAGACGTACATTTCAGGAAATTGTGAATATACACAGTGTCTGAGTACTCAAAAAGGCAACCTGATTGACTAAATCATTCCCTCTGATTTATTAGCTATAGAGATTTTTTCAGTCCCACATTATAATCCTTGTGGATGAAAATAAATTCTGTCATAGTTGAGGGCTAGATGCAAGTTTGCCCCATTTCATTCTCAAGACCTTGAGAAGATAGTCCTTTTGCTTTCACTTCCAAATATTGGCAGTTTGAGATTATTTTACTGCCCTAGATTACAGTTCCCTTTATACTGATTGTGTTGCTTCAATGACTGAGTTGAGATGCACTCTGATTCTTCCCTTTAGGCCTGTGATCATTTTGAGACTAAAGAGATACAAAATAGCCTGTTCAAAACAAAGTCATATTTTTCTCAAAAGAAGGAATCTAGAAATAATTAAGGAGGGGAAAAAGTTTTGATAAAACAAATAGTACATGGGCATTGGCTAAAGCTTATTACTTAGACACTCCACTGCTGAGACCAATAATTCAGTTTTTTTCTCAATAGCCCCTTTATCTCTCTTCCAAGGTCATGTTTCAGGTTTTCTTTCTGAATCCTCTAACCCTTTCCCTGTACTAAGCTAAAGGTGTTGAATAAAATGTGGTCAGTGAAAGCTTCAAAATTATTGATACCTGCATTGCTGCTCTAAGTGTTAATGAATAGTGTCCTTTCTGTTTATCTTTAAGGCATATCCTTTTAATACTTGGCAATATGACAGTAATCAAATAAGCAGATTTAATATTCATAAAATAATACATGCATCTCAAATACCATGTATAAATAAGCTGTTTTGTAGGGTTTCACGGAGAGGTTAAAATCACTAAAATGGGATTGAGTATGAGCAGTGAAGTATGAAAATCAAATTATGGTGAGAATCTTCTACAGGTAAATCCCAAATCCCCCTGCCTCCATTATTCTAGAAACCCCCTCAAACCTACCAGAGAGAGGGGGTAATTAATTTTAATGGTTGGCAATGCATTTTAGCGGTCATTTTCAATTTCAGTAAAGTACAATTTTCATGTCACCAGCCAATTTATCTTTGCTTTGTTATTCTTTAGGAGTTTGGAATTCCTAATGAGAAAAGCTTGAGTAGTGATAGCTTTCTGGATCAATAGTACAGTCAGTTTCTATTGCTGAAATAAATTATTTGTTTCCTTAGAAGGAACATTAATTCCTAGACTAGAAAATAAGACCATTCCCTAGCTAAAGATGTATTGCTGTGTCATGGCTGAGGCATAGTTGCACCTTTAACTAATTATTTATATAGAAATAATTAGTATACAATAGGATTTTGACCAACTCATCATAGAGAAGTAGAGCTGTAAGGACCTCACAAGGTCATCTAGTTTAATCCCCTGCTTGAGGCAAGATCATCCCTATCCAGACCATCCCATACAAACCATAATCTGAACTCTACATAAGACTACCATTAACCATGACACAACAGAACTAACACCCTAACCTGCCCTAGGTAAAGTGAGGGAACCAGAATATCCAGTGACCTGCTTCTATAAAATGTTGTGAATATACATCAAGATGTCCTGGGTCGAGGGCCATGCCCCATGCTACAGAGGAAGGCAAAAACCCTTGCAATCTATACCAATCTGACCATGAGGTAAAATTCCTTCTTGATGGATGGTCTGTCCCTGAGCAAAGGGGCAAGAACCTCTAGCCAGGAACCTCTGGGTTTGGTTCCAGCAGGAACATTAGAATGCCCCAGTCAAAGTCCCAAGTCTTGGCTGTAGCTTAAAGGCTTAAAAACACACTAACACATATAGCAGAAATGTGAGAGGGAAATGGAGCATGGGGGCAACCAGAAAATCCCAGAAGCATGGGAAATACCTATGATAGAACATAGACATAGCTACACCTAAATTATCCCCAACTAGTGGCTGTCCAGCCTCTTCCTGAACACTTTCAGTGATGGAAAGTCCACAGCTTCAATAGTCAGTCTATTCCACTGCCTAACTGTTGTAACAGT